GCCCGCGCGCTGGCCTCTGGAGCTTCACCGATGACGCCGTCACCCGCTGCGAGGGGTCGGCCACTGCCGCGGAGGAGGGCCTTCCCCGCATGGCCAAGGTGCTCAAGGATGGCATGAGCGCGCAGGAGCTCATCTGCTCGTGCAAGACGGTGCTCGCGGCTTCCAACAGCGAGCCGGCAGCCAGCTTGTCGGACAGTCCCGCGGCCATGGGCACTCCGCATCCGGCGTCGGACAATGCGGTGGACCTCGGCATCGACACCGCCTCGGGCCGCTGCAGGGTGCGCACCAAGGCGTCGGCTCGCATCGCTGCTGCAGCACGACGTTGGAGGCGCATCATGAAGCTGCGACGGGCCACTGCCAGACCCACAGAGTGTCGAGGTCTGTGGGCGACGGGCACGCTGCCGCAGTCGGTCTACGGCCACCAGGTCAGCGGTGCTCCGCCTGGTCTGGTACCGCAGCTACGACGACGGGCTGGTCATGCTGTGGCCGGTGCTGCCCGCGGACGGTGCCTGGCGTCCGTGCTGGCGGCCGCGGTCGGGCTGCACGACCCCCGCATTGCCTTGCGGGTGCAGCTGGTGGCGTCGTGGCGCAGCCTCTGGTTCTCCGACGCGTCGTTGCGCGGCCGCATCAAGCGGCCCTGGCCCAGGACCCTCGGCGCCCCTCGGCGCGCTGGCAAGTGGCGCTGGAGGCGGGTCCGCGGCCCCATGGGCGCGTTGCAGGCGACGTTGCTGGACGTGGGCTGGGACCCGCGCGCGGCCGCGGGCTGGGGGCGCCCGACTGCGGAGGGCGTTGACGATTTGAGGCTGCTGGGCGCCGCGGACGACAGCTCCCGCGCGTGCGCCGGATTCGGCGGGGTGTCTCTCACCACCCACCAAACCACCCCAACCCAACCCGAAGGCTCAGATTTACCCTCGATTTCCAGTGGGGGGGGGTCGGGAAACCTTGAAAAAACACATGTAGAACCATTACTCCCCCCAACCCGAAATTCGGGTCTTCGGGTTGGGTTGGGGTGGTCTGGTAGGTAGTCAGTTCCAGTACTTCGAGGAGGACCTCGGGCACCAGCCGCGGCGGTCTGCGGCGTCGCACCTGCACGGGGGCGGCCTCGTCGGTGGCGCTGACGTTCTGCACGTCGGCCGCGAGCTCAGAGGAGGAGGAGGAGGAGGAGGAGGAGGAGGAGGAGGAGGAGGAGGAGGAGGAGGAGGAGGAGGAGGAGGAGGGGAAGCTGGAGCGCGAGGCCCGGCGCGCGGAGTGGGGCCTCACCCTCACTGTTTGTCTTTGGCGGCCAGCGGGCGAGATCCCGACGCGCTGCTGCTGACTATGTGCTCGAGCAGGAGGGCCGCGCGCGGTGCGGTTGCGCGGACGAGGCACTGGTGCGCAGGATCTGGCAGTGTCCTGCGAACGTGGGCGAGGAGTTCGAGTCCACGGCTGCCCATGTGCCTCGGGCGTTCGCTGGACACGAGGCGTTGCCTGCCATGCGCTTGCGCGGGGCGCCTGCCTCATGCGCAACCACTCCTGTCTTTTGCGACCAGAGAGCGAAGCAGGCCGCGGTGTCCCTCGGCGCGGACAGCGCCCTGGAGTCGACGAGGCGTGACGACGGTTTCGCGGTGGTCTGCGGCGACGGCTCCGTTGGGAAGTGCTCCGACGACCCGAGGCGCAGGCGCAGCGCCACCATCATTGCGGCCATGGGCCAGGACGAGGACGGGCTGTGGACCGACCTGCGCTTGTTTCGTGCTGTGCCCGCCCCTGGCAGATGGCAGACGGTGCCGCGCGCGGAGATCCTCGGCTTCGCGCTGGCGCTGGAGTCCGTCGGAGGCAACGTCGGGTACGTGACTGACCACGAGCCCCTCTGGCGGTGCTGGGAACAGAGCATGTCGTCCGTGCTGCCTGGCGGTGCCCACGAGGACCTCTGGTTCACGTGCGCGCCAAGCGCGGCTGGGCGGGCCTCCCGGCGCGGTCGAGGTGGCCTGGGCCCCCGTGCACGCGGACGAGGAGGAGCACATGCGGCTGCCGAGGTCGGAGGCGGACCTCGAGCGGGCGCTGGGCAGTGCCGCTGCAGATGCGCTCGCGGGCGCGACGGCTGCGGCCTGCCGGCGCCCGGGGGCTCGTGGGGACGGAGCCGCGCACCGACGCGGTCGACGCCGAGGCTCGCGCGGTCCGCGGACGGGCCTGCAGGGCCCTGGTGCTCGCGGCTGAGGCTGATCAGCTGCGTGGAAGTCGATGCCCACTCGCTCTGCTCGACCGAGGAGGAGGAGGAGGAGGAGGAGGAGGAGGAGGCGGAGGAGGAGGAGGCGGAGGAGGAGGAGGAGGAGGAGGAGGAGGAGGAGGAGGAGGAGGCGTCGGCCCCCTCGCTCTGCTGCCGCCGCTGCCTGCGCCACCTCGTCGCACGAGCCGCAGCAGTGTGGGTCGGAGCGCTGGGTCCGCACCAGCTGCCCGTGCGTGGTCGGCCAGAGCCAGCTGCTCTGTTCTGCGGCCACCGCATGCGCGTGCAGGCCCCCCGCCGTCGGAAAGGGGACGACGGCCGAGGCGTGGGGCGGATCGCCCGTGCCTGTGGCCGCGAGCGTGCTGCAGAAAGCTGGGAGAGGTGCCCTGAACCTCCACCCCTCCCATGTCCTGCATGCCGCCCCTTCGTTCTGCATCACATATTGTGCCAGGTGTGGCTTCTATACCCCGATCGCGAACTGGGGCGATGCACACTTCCTTCGTCTGCCGTGGCGAGGTGCGAATCGAGGTGGCAAGGAGAATCTCAGTCGAATTCGGAGGAGCTTGCATCCTCGTCGGCAAGGCCCGCCCCGAGGGACCCTCCGTGTCCAGGAAGCCCGCCTCGCTGCTGCAGCAAACTGCGAGCAGGCGACGGAGGGTGCTGTCGAAACTCTCGAACCGAGCCCGAGCCTGCACCAGTCCCCAGGAAGGCCGCGCAGCTAGGGCGGTTGGGGCGAGGGCCTGGGCCACGCTGGGGCTTCGGTGCCTGCGTGGTGCTCGTTCCCCCGTCTGGGGTGCGTGATCCGACTGGGCCTCTGGTTACATTAAACGTTCCTAGACGTTCCTCCTCCACCTCCTCCTCCTCCTCCTCCTCCTCCCTTCCTCCTTTCCTCCTTTCCTCCCTCCCTCCCTCCCTCCCTCCCTCCTCTCCTCCCCCTCCTCATCCTCGCCCTCCCCCTCCTCGCTCTCCCTCCCCCCCACCCGCTCGAGGCTGAGGCGCCCGCCGCCGCCGGCGAGGAACCCGCGGCCGCGCCCGGCCAGCCGAGCGCCGGGGGCGGCACTGCCAAGGCCGCGCCGGGGCCGCCGCGGCGCGTTGCCGATGATCGCGGTGGCGGTGGCCTCCCCCTCTTCCTTTTCCTCCTCGTCCTCCTCCTCCTCCTCCTCCTCCTCCTCTTCATCATCCGCCTCCTCCTCCTCATCCTCCTCCTCCTCGTCCTCCTCCTCCTCGACCCTCGACCTCCTCCCGCCCTGTCCTCGACCTCCTCCTCCTCCTCGACCTCCGCCTCGACCTCCGCCTCGAGCCCCGCCTCGACCTCCGCCTCGACCTCCGCCTCGACCTCCCGAGGCCTCCAGGGGGCGGGGCGGGGGCGGGGGCGGGGGCCTCCTCCTCCTCCTCCTCCTCCTCCTCCTCCTCCTCTCTCGTGCTTCTCCTCCTCCTCCTCCTCCTCCTCCTCCTCCTCCTCCTCCTCCTCCTCCTCCTCTTCCTCCTCCTCCTCCTCCTCCACCCTCTTTCTTCATGAATAATTTCTCCCTGCCGCACCCCGAGGCCAGTTTTAGGGCGGGTCGGGCGTTTTGCTTGAGACTTCCTCACCATCTACGACTCTGAAGCTTAAACATTGGCAACAGCTTCACAGATGGAGGGCGGTTGGTTTTCAACATGTGTCTCTCGCTTTAGCGCCGCGCACATTCGTTTTGGACATTTGCAAGAGCTTCACGGATTGAGGATCACCCGTTGTCAAAATGTGGCTCTCGCCTTAGCGCCGCGCGCATTCGCTAAAAAATCGCAAGAGCTTCACGGATTGAGGATAACCCGTTTCCAAAATGTTGCTCTCGCCTTAGCGCCGCGCGCACTCGTTCTAACAAATTGCAAGAGCTTCACGGATTGAGGGTGGTTCCTTTTCAACATGTGGTTCTCGCTTTAGCGCCGCGCACATTTGTTCTAACATTTGCAAGAGTTTCACGGATGCCCACGACCAACGTACCAGAGATGGTGTCTTGGGAGGATTCAGGAGTTTGCGGGTGCAACAGTTCTGATGATTCGCGGAGCTGAAATCCCAAAAATGGCGTTCTGGCACGGTCCAGGATCGTCAAGACGCAACAGTCAGGTTGATCCGTGGCATTGGACTCCCGAGAACAACGTTTCGGTATGCTTCCGGGTCGTTAAACGGTTGTCTTCCAACGAGGCAGATCCTTCAGAGGGAGCTTGGAGGGAGGGTGTATTCCAGCATCGTTGATGGTTCCTAGGTTTACACTGGTCCTCCTCCTCCTGCTCCTCCTCCTCCTCCCAGACTCCCAGGCATGCTCGCGTCGTGGAGAAATCACGGCAGGAGGTTTTTGGTGATTTCCGGCCTATGGGAGCTGTCGCCAGCCCTTGGGACCGTCAAGAGACGACTCGGGATGAAAAATTGGCCCCAGGGAAAGGGTCGGGCTTTCCGGGGGTCGCGTATTGAAAACATCTGGACGTCGCATGTCTGGGCTCGGTCCTACTCTCCCCCACCCTCCAGGCTTTCCCCTGCCTCATCTCAGCCATAGGCGTGTGACTTCTTCAACATCGGCCTCCCAGCCCGCGAGGCGTACGCGGCTGTGAATGCGTAGGACGAGGCCGAGGTGATGGTGGTGATCGTGGTGATGGTGGTGGTGCCGGTGATGGTGGTGATGGTGGTGGTGGTGACGGTCATCGATGATCCTGATGGTGGTGATGATGGTGATGGTGATGGTGGTGGTGATGGCGATGATGATGGTGGTGGTGGTTGTGATGGTAATGGTAATGGTAGTGGACAAGGGCTAGACAGGCTTATGTTGCCAAAGCCACCTGCCGACGGACCTGAAGGAATTACAGAGGGCGGTGCGCTGGTTGCGCGTCTGCCTGTTTACGGGGCCCGCGACGTGGGCCGAGGCTTGCGGAAGAAGGCTCGGGCACGTTTCAAGGCACACGGATTACGCGAGATTGATCATGCCCGCTCTCTTCAGCATGCTCAGCCGTACGAACGAGATTGGGCGCATGCTTGGTACTCACGTAAAAGGTATCTTCTGGTCAGCAGATGAGGAGAGTCATAATATCTTCGATGTGGTGTTTGCAGAGGTCGACATCCGAGAGGTCAAGTCTGGCAATTCTAGACGCTTCGCGTAACCCCACCAGGTCCGTAGCCTTGGCTCAAGCTTGGCTCGAGCGATCTTGACCTAAGGTATTTACAGTGCGGCTCAAGCCGCGGTGCCGTGTCTTCTCGGATGCTGGGCATCGGCCGAGGGTCTCGAGAAGCCGTTATTTCCCTCGAAGCGTCGATCGAGAACTGCGGTCGGACAAAACAATGGAGCGTAGCACTGCGGTTGCTCCGCGAAGGACTTCGATTAGGTGTGCAACTTGTCCCAGGCCGCTACATTGCGATTGCCAGCGCATGCAGAAAAGGCGGGCAATGGCAACACGCGCTTTCAGTGCTCAGTGACATGTGGAAGGCGAAGCTGGAGCCCAACGTCATCAGCTACAGCGTTGGGATCAGCGCGTGCGAGAAGGGCGGGCAGTGGCAGCCAGCGCTGGCACTGCTGAGCGAGATGCAGGAGGCGAAGCTGGAGCCCGACGTCATCAGCTACAACGTTGGGATCAGCGCCTGCGAGAAGGGCCAGCAGTGGCAGCGGGCGCTTGCGCTGCTGAGCGAGATGTGGGAGGCGAAGCTGGAGCCCAACGTCGTCTGTACTACAATTCCGGGCGAAGCGCGCGCGAGAAGGTCAGGCAGTGGCAGCGCCTCAGGCCGCCCAGAGCTCGCGGGCCGCCCGGAGAGCCTCCGGGCCGCTGCCCGACGGGCCCGGGAGGCCCCCGGACCGCTGGCGGACTGATCCAGGATTCCCAGATCGCCCCAAGACGGCCTCAGGAGGTCCCGAAGACGGCCCAAGACGGTCCAAGAGTGGATCCGAGACGCTCAAGATGGCTTCAAGACGCCTTCAAGACGGCGCGAGACGCTTCCACGAGGCCCCCAGAGCGCTCGAAGTGTACCTCCAAGAGGGGCCGCAGAAGCCAAAATCGTTGATTTTCTGTGTTTTTTCAGATGTTTCTGGCCTTCTCGCTTTTTCGGCTTTCCGACGCTCCAAGACCGCCCAAGAGGCCCCCCAGACCGTTCCAAGACGGCCCAAGAGGCCTTCAAGACGCCCCAAGAGGGCCCCAAGACGGCCCAGGAGTCGCCCAAGACGGCCCAAGAGGCCCCAAGAGAGGTCCAAGACAGGGACCCGGAACCGAAAAATTGAGGCCTCCACCCCAAGAGGCCCCCAGGAAGCCCCAAGACGCCCCAAAGAAACGCCGTGACGCTCCCAAGACATCCCCAGGAGGCCCCAGGACGCCCCACAGAGGCTCCAAGAGGCCCCCCAAAGGCCGCCAAGCGCCCCAAAAGGCCTCCAAGAGGCCCCAAAAGAGGGCCCAAGAGGCCCCAAGACGCCCCCAAACTGCTACCAAGAAGCCCCCAAACTGTCTCCCAGAGGCTCCCGAGAGGCCAACCACGAGATCCTAACCAGCATCCGCGAGATCTCAGGCCCTCGGCGAGATTGCCCGCAGGCCACTACAGCCGGTTCGGGGACCCTACGTATACCAGTACCAGCATCCTTGGCTGCACCGGGGGCCTCACCGCTGCTCTCTCGGTTCTGCTGGCTTCGACCTGCCAGAGCTCTGAGCCGCTCCCCGACGCCCCCAGGACGCCCCTGGAGCGCTCCCCGACGGCTCCCGGACCCCCACATCGCTCCAAGACGGCCCCAAAGACGTCCAAGAGAGCCGAAGCCGATCCGGCCAGAGCCCCACGACGGCCTCGAAATGCCCCAGAGACGTTCCTCGAGGGCCCCGTGGACCATGCCTTGAGTTTGGGGTGATCGCGCACAGTCCCAGCGCGATTAGCAAAAACCCATTCCTTTTCACGCTTCCAGATCAGTGCCCCCGCGGCTCCCCGACTGCTTTCTGAGATCGCCCCTGGACGTGGCCCCTTACACGTCGGCCCCACGCGTGGCCTCCAAACGGGACCCCCAAAGGCGGCCCCCACACAAAGCCTTTGAAGGTCGCCCCTACCGCCTCAGTAAGCGTGGCCCTTGAATGTTAACCCCACGCGTAGCCCCCAGGCGCCCCCAAACGTGGCCCCAAGACACACAGCCCCCAACCATTGCCCTCAAACGTGACCGTCACATCTGCCCCCGAACCCCGCACCCTCAAACGCGACCGTCACATGTGCCCCCGAACCCCGCACGCGGCCCCCAAACATGGCCCCCGGCAGGGCTGCGAACGTTGCCCCCAATCATGACCCCCTGACGAGACCCCCCAACGTGGCCCTCAAACGAGGCCCCCCAACGTAACGCCCAACTCTGGCCCCCACGCGTCCACCCCCCACATCGAACTTCTCGCGCACAGGGACTCTGTAAGATCGTTCGGGCCCCCTTACTCTGATTGTGTCTGAAAACCTACGTGTTTCTGCTAATCGCGCCCAGGCCTTGCGCGATTAGCAAAAATTATCCCGGCAAAGCAACCTAACAGCGATGTGTAGAAGCATATCTGAAAGCATTCCCCTTAAGATTCAGATGAAAATCCAGTTGTCGAATTCTGCTGTTCTCGCAGTCGTAGTCGCATTCGCGATGACAGTCGCAGCGGCAACGGCAGTCGCAGTCACAGCCTCAGCCTCAGCCTGCTCCTCCTCCTCCTCCTCCTCCTCCTCCTCCTCCTCCTCCTCCTCCTCCTGCTCGTCCTCGTTCTCGTCCTCCTCGTCTTGCTCGTCCTCCTCCTCCTGGTGCTCTCTCCTCCTCCTCCTCCTCCTCCTCCTCCTCCTCCTCCTCCTGGTGGTCCTCGTTCTCCTCCTCCTGGTGCTCTCCCCCCCCTCCTCCTCCTCGTCCTCCTCCTCCTCCTCCTCGTCCTCCTCCTCCTCTTCCTCCTCCTCCTCCTCCTCCTCCTCCTCCTCCTCCTGGTAGTCCTCCCCCTCCCCTCCTCCTCCTCCTCCTCCTCTTCCTGGTCGTCCTCGTTCTCGTCCTCCTCGTCTTGCTCGTCCTCCTCCTCCTGGTGTTCTCTCCTCCTCCTCCTCCTCCTCCTCCTCCTCCTCCTCCTGGTGGTCCTCGTTGTAGAAGCATATTTGAAAGCATTCCCCTTAAGATTCAGATGAAAATCCAGTTGTCGAATTCTGCTGTTCTCGCAGTCGTAGTCGCATTCGCGATGACAGTCGCAGCGGCAACGGCAGTCGCAGTCACAGCCTCAGCCTCAGCCTGCCTCCTCCTCCTCCTCTTTCTCCTGCTCCTCCTCCTCCTCCTCCTCCTCTTCCTCCTGCTCGTCCTCGTTCTCGTCCTCCTCGTCTTGCTCGTCCTCCTCCTCCTGGTGCTCTCTCCTCCTCCTCCTCCTCCTCCTCCTCCTCCTCCTCCTCCTCCTGGTGCTCTCCTCCTCCTCGTCCTCCTCCTCCTCCCTCCTCCTGGTAGTCCTCCCCCTCCCCTCCTCCTCCTCCTCCTCCTCCTCTTCCTGGTCGTCCTCCTCCTCCTGGTCGTCCTCCTCCTCCTGCTCGTCCTCCTCCTCCTCCTGCTCGTCCTTCTTCTCCTGCTCCTCCTGCTCCTCGTCCTGCTCCTGCTCGTCCTCGTCCTCCTGGTCTTGCTCGTCCTCCTCCTCGTCGTGCTCTTGCCCCTGCTGAAAATGTGGCCCAGGAATGGGAGTTCTGGGAAGTCGAAGAGCACGAAGTTGCCTACAGTTGGCTACGGGCATTCAAAATGTGGCCCGGGAATGGAGTTCTGGGAACTCGAAGAGCACGAAGTGGCCTACAGTTGGCTCCGGGCATTCAAAATGTGGCCCGGGAATGGAGTTCTGGGAACTCGAAGAGCACGAAGTGGCCTACAGTTGGCTCCGGCCCTCCAGAATGTGGCCCGGGAATGGAGTTCTGGGAACTCGAAGAGCACGAAGTGTGTGACTGTTGCATCCGGTTATTCTAAATGTGGCCCGGGAATGGCGTTCTGGGATCTCGAAGAGCACGAAGTGTGTGACTGTTGCATCCGGGTATTGAGAATGTGGCCTGGGAATGGAGTTCTGGGAAGTCGAAGAGCACGAAGTGTGTGACTGTTGGTGAAAAACGAGCCCGGCACCTGCCGCCCGGCAACTCCCAACACCTGCCCGGACCCCCCTGTGGAGTGATCTGCTGCTCTCTTTTGATCCCACTAGAAACCTATCAGTCTTCGCTGTTAGGTAACACATTATTTTGACGCTTCCAGCGCTTCCGACACGTGCGCGTTCGGGACCAACGCCTGGATCTGCGGGCCGTGGATTCTCCACGGGTTCACACTAGTCAGCTACAGCGTTGGGATCAGCGCGTGCGAGAAGGGCGAGCAGTGGCAGCGGGCGCTTGCGCTGCTGAGCGAGATGTGGGAGGCGAAGCTGGAGCCCAACGTCATCAGCTACAGCGCTGGGATCAGCGCGTGCGAGAAGGGCGAGCAGTGGCAGCGGGCGCTTGCGCTGCTGAGCGAGATGTGGGAGGCGAAGCTGGAGCCCGACGTCATCTCTACTACATTGCAGGGCCCAGTGCGTGCCAGAAGGGCGCAGGCTCAAATGTCTCAAAACCGCCCCAGGCTGGCCCCGGGCCGCCCCGGGCCGCCCAGGCAGGCTCCAGGACATGTCGGGAGGGCCCCCAGAAGCCCCCAAGACGGCCCCGGAGAGCCCCAGCACGCTTAAAGATGGGCCCAAGACGCCCGAGATTCGCCCCAGGCGGCCCAAGAGGCGTCCAAGACGCCCGAAGAGGCCTCCCAAGAGGCCTCCTAAGAGGGCCCCGAGCGACAGAAATCGTCGAGTTCTACTGTGTTTTTCGATGTTTTCGGCCTCCTCGCCTCTTCGGCTTCCCGACGCTCCAAGACGGCTCAAGAAGTCCCCCCGACCGCTCCAAGACGGCCGAAGAGGACCCCAAGAGAGCCCCAAGACGGGCCAGGAGGGCCCCCAGACGGTCCCAAGACGCCCCAGGATGGCCCCAGGACGGCCCAGGAGGCGCCCAAGACGGCCCAAGAGGCACCCAAGACGGCTCCAGGAGCGGCCCAAGACGGCCCAAGACAGCCCAAGAGGCGCCGAGGCGGGTCTCAGACGGCCCCAAGACGGCCCAAGAGGCACCCAAGACGGCCCGAGAGGGCCCTAAGAGCCCCCCCGGGAGGCCCAAAAGAAGGCCGAAGAGGCTCCGAAACGGCCCCCACGAAGCCTTCAGTGCCTTCAGAATTCCCTCCAGGAGCGGGGGAGCGGACGAGAGGCGACAGGCATATCGCAGGCAAAAACGCCCCAAGAGATCCCCAAACGGCCCCCACGAAGCCCTAAGTGGCCTCAGAATTGCTTCCAGGAGGGGGGGAGCGGACGAGAGGCGACCGGCATATCGAAGGCACAAAAGAACAATGTTGGACGCTCCGAGGGCCTTCGATGTTTCTCTGTTGGGGAGAGTCGTCGTAGGATCGACGATTGCCGACCGAGGGCAGCGAATCCAGTGGAGGCCCAAGAGGCCCCCAGGAGCCCAAAAGAGATCCCCAAGAGGTGCCACGGGGCTTAAAAACTGCTTCGAAGCGAGGGGGGCGGACGAGGGGACCGCCTCAGGAGGTTTTGGACGGTTTTGGGCCTCAAAATCGTCCGCTTTACTATGGTTTTGGAAGGATTTTGGCCTTCTCGCCTTTTCCGCTTTCCGACGCTCGAAGCCGGCCCAAGAGGCCTCCAAGAGCGCCCCAGAACGGCCCAAGAGGTTTCCAAGAGCGCCCCAAGACAGCCCAAGAGGGCCCCAAGACGACCCAAGAGACGCTCAAGACGGCCCACGAGGGCCCGAAGACAGGCCCAAGAGGGGGCCAAGAGGGGGACCACGGACCGAAAATCCGAGCCTTCCGCCCCAAGAGGGCGCCAGGAGGCCCAAACAGGCCCCCAAGAGGCCCCAAGGGGCCGCCAAGAATCCCCCGAAGAGGCCCCAGGAGGCTCCCAAGGAGCCCAAACGAGGCCCCTACAGAGGCCCCAACAGCTTCCAAAATGGCCCCGAAGAGGCCTCGAGCCCGCCTCCGAGCTTCCTCGCCGCGAGGGTGCCAACACGGCCCCAGACCGGCCCAGGACGGCCCAAGGCGCGCTCAAGACGGCCCAAGACGATTCCAAGACGGTCCCAGGAGGGTGCGCCCAGGACGGCCCAAGGACGCGCCCGTTCGGGGCCTCAAGACGGGCCAAGATGGCAAGAGAGTCCCAGCTGGCAAAAATCGTTAATTTTCCATTGTTTACTGTTACACCCTTTGCGTTTCCCGCCGTTTCGGCGGTCCGATGCACCAAGAGGCCCCAGAAAGTCCCAGGAGGGTCCGAGGAACCGCCCAGGAAGGCCCCAAGACGGGCCAAGACGGACCCAGCACAACCCAAGGCGCGCTGCGACGGCTCAAGACGGCTCCAAGACAGCCCCAAGAGGGTGCCAACACGGCCCCTGCTGGGCCCAGGACGGCCCAAGGAGGCGCACAGGAGGGGCCCAAGACGACTCCAAGGCGGCCTCCTCACGGTCCCAGACGGCTCCAAGACAGCCCCACGAGGACCCCGATGGGCCCAGGACGGCCTACGGACGCGCCCATGAGGGGCCCACGACGAACCAAGACGGCCCCATCAGGGCAAACGGCGCCCTCAAGACGGGCCTAGACGGCTCCAAGACGGCCCTTTGAGGGAGCCAACGCGGCCCCACACCCTTCGGGCGCACACTTGGGGGGGCTGGGAGCTTGCGACAAGTCTCCCACATTCATTGTCCTGCCCCATTCTGTTCGCCTGGAGGCCTCCTCCAACCCTGTGGGCGAACAAGAGGAATCCCAGCGGGACGCCAACCCTGGGGCCCGTGGGCCCCGCGCCGCTTGGGCAGAAGACGAACGCCGGGTCTGACAGGCCAGCTACCGCCCCCCTTTGCCCGATATGCTGTGCCATTCTGTTCCCCCAGGGGCCTTGGCAAACTCTTCGGGCCAAGCAGACCGGACCCCTGGGACAGCAGCCAATTGATATGACCCTGGGACCTCTCCGCATTCTTCGGACGAGCATCTGGGGGGCCCAGGAGATTCGGACATGTCTTCCCCATTCCTTGCCCTGTCCCGTTCTGTTCGCCCGAAGGCCTCCACAGACCCTCTGGGCGAACAGAATGGGACATGGCGAACAAACCCTCCCGTTGGCGGTGATGCGACTGGATCGCACCATCAAGGCGCGCCCGGAGGTGATGGCCGACCCAACAGCGGTTTCTCTTAAGAGTTCACTGGATTTCAAATTTTCTTGAAGCTCTCTTGGGCCCTCCCTGTAGATCCTTGCGAGCCTCCCCGGCGCTTTCGGTGGCTTTCCCCGATGGCCTCCCGAGCCCTTCCCCGAGCGCTCCTGAGACGCCTCAGATGGGCTTCGACTTCGACGCACATCCCCGAGAGACTTCGAAACTGTCCTCAATAGGAGGGGGGTGAACGAGCAGTGCGCTGGGCCAAGCTGCTGCAGCGCTGCAAGAGCTCGGACACGAAGGCGCGGTCTCGCTGCCGCCGCCCGAGCCGCCGCCGTGTTTGTAGATTTTCGGTACAAACTGCGCCGTTCCTCCGAGAACCAGTCCAGAAAGAGGCGCCGAGGCGGGCCTCAGACGGCCCCAAGACGGTCCAAGAGGCACCCAAGACGGCCCGAGAGGGCCCTCAGAGCCCCCCCCGGGAGGCCCAAAAGAAGGCCGAAGAGGTTGCGAAACGGCCTCCACGAAGCCTTCAGTGGCTTCAGAACTCTCCAGGAGCGGAGGAGCGGACGAGAGGCGACAGGCATATCGCAGGCAAAAAGGCCCCAAGAGATCCCCAAATGGCCCCCACGAAGCCCTAAGTGGCCTCAGAATTGCTTCCAGGAGGGGGGGAGCGGACGAGAGGCGACCGGCATATCGAAGGCACAAAAGAACAATGTTGGACGCTCCGAGGGCCTTCGATGTTTCTCTGTTGGGGAGAGTCGTCGTAGGATCGACGATTGCCGACCGAGGGCATGGAGAATCCAGAGAAAGAGGAGAAGAAGGTGGAAGAGGAGGAGGAGGAGGAGGAGGAGGCGGAGGAGGAGGAGGAGGAGGAGGAGGGGGAGGAAGCAGCGGGACCTCCGAGCAGCAGCAGCAGCTGAGGAACACAGGAGAGCAGGAGGTCCTGGAGGGTGTGGAGAGCGCCTTCAACTGGCCATCGTGGTCAAGGACGCGATTGCCTTTCGGCCCTGCAGCCGCACCCCCCCGCGCTTGCCCAGAGACCCCTCGCCACGTCGAGCTGATGTCGTGGACGGAGTCCAAAGGTCAGCCCTAGTCAGCTACAATGCTGGGATCAGCGCGTGCGGGAAGTGCATGCAGTGGCAGCGGGCACTGGCGCTGCTGAGCGAGATGTGCGGGGCGACGCTGGAGCCCAACTTCATGAGCTACGGCGCTGGGATCAGCGCGTGCGAGAAGGGCGCGCAGTGGCAGCGGGCACTGGCGCTGCTGAGCGCGATGTGGGAGGGGAAGCTGGAGCCCAACGTGAACGTAATGCCGGGAGAACCGCTTGCCAGAACGGTGGGCACTGATAAGACGCGGCTGAAGTTGCCCAAGTCGCCCCCGGCGGGCCTGGTGGGCCCTGGCGGATTCCGAGAGACGGTCCCAGATGGCCCGAGACGCCTACAGACGGTCCAGGAGGATGCCGGTATGGCCTTCAGACGGCCGCACAGGGCCCCAAGGCGGCCTAAGATTGCTTCAAGAGGCCCCCCAAGACGGGCCCCGAGAGGCCAAAATCATTTGTTTTCCGTTCGTGTTGTTTCAAGCGTTTCAGCGTCATCGTTTTCTTGCAGTCTCGACGTTTCAAGACGGCCCCAGAGGCTCCGTCCTCCAGATCAATTTTCCGGGTCTTCCGGGTGCTCGCAGAGTCTCCTGCAAGGCTGCAAGACGGCCCAAGAGAGAGAGCCTGCAAGACAGCTCAGGGAAAGCCCCAAGACGGCCCAAAGAGGCGCTCAGGACGACCGAAGATGGCCCAGAGATGGCCCCGCCGCGTTCCCCTGCCAGGGCACCTGCGGATCTGCTCCACGGGTACACATTAATCTTTACCCCTCGCCCTCGCTCTTCCAGACCTTCCGTGCTGATCTTCCACACGCTTGCGCTTCATGAAACTCTGAGTTTTCTGGGGGTTCCTGAGGTTTTCAAAGGTTTCAATGCATCACCTTCCGCGCCTTCCGCGGAGGTCGGGTATGGAAGGTGGAGGTGGAAGGACTGCATTGCAGGGCCCTGCGCTTGCGAAGAAGGCGGGGCCTGGAAAAACGCCCCGGCGGCCCCTGCGAGCCACCGGAGACCCCGGGACGGTCCGAGAGGGTCCAAGTGCGCTCCGAGACGCGCTGGAGGCCTCCAGGAGTGCTCCAAGACGGTCCAAGAGAGCCTCCGAGACGGTCCAAGGAGAGCCTAAAAACGGCCAAGATGGTCTCCGAATGGTCCAAGAGGCTTCCAAAACGCTCCAAGTGGGCTCCAAGACGAGCCCCAACAGAGCCTGAACAAGGACAAATCGTCCCAATCCCTAGGGACGACGTATAGTTAGGGCTATTCCCGTGCGTTTTGTCTTCCAAGCGTCCAAGACTTCCATTCAGGACCTCAGGATCGCATCAAGACGCCTGAGGAGGCCCCCATGAGGGCCCCAAGACAACCCAACACGACCTCAGGACAGCTCCTGTGGCGCCCATGACGGCCCAAGAGGCACCCAAGACAGCCCCAGGAGAGTCACAGACGGCCCAAGACGGTCCAAAGACGTTCCTAAGATTACTCCAGAGGCGCCCAGGACAGCCCCAGACGGCCCCAACACGGCCCAAGAGCCACGCGGGACAGCTCCAGAAGGCCACCCCCCGTCAGGCTTCGGCAAGGCGGCAGGGAAATAGTCCAGGAAGGCTCCGGAGAGCCCCAGATGCCAGGGCGCCCTCGTGGGCGCGAAGTTAATTCGCGGTTCGGGGTTTGCGGTTCGGCTCCGACTCCTCACCCTCGGTCGGCGCGAGAGCGCGAAGAATTTCGCGCAGCACGATGCGCAAAGCTGGGCGCCCTTGATGGAGAGGTTGCCGGCATGGGCTTCAGACAGCCTAGGAGGGCCTCAAGAGGCCCCCCAAGAGGCGCCCCGAGAGGGCCCGAGAGGCCAGAGTCGTTGGCTCCCCGTTTATCTTTGAGTTTTCCAATGGTGTTGGCGGTCTCCGCCTGTTCGGGCTTCGACGCTCCAGGACGGCCCAAGAGGCCCCACCAGCGCCCCGCGACGACCCAACGGGCTCCCAGATGACCCACGAGGGCCCCAAGACGGCCCGAGAGGCGCCCAAGACGGCCGAAGAGGGCCCCAGGAAGGCCCCAGGAGGGGGGAGCTCGAGCTGAAATTCCGCGCCCTCCGCCCCAAGATGGCCTCCGAGACCACCAGCGAGCCCCCAAGCGTCCCCCCCCAGAAGTCCCACGCCCAAATCGAGCCCCCACCCCGAGGCACCCACAGAAACGCCTCGAGTAGGCTTCGGAAGGAAGATCCCTTAGAGAGCGCTGTGACCGCGCCGGCCACCCAAGAGAGCCCCGTGAGCGACCAAAGAGGCTATCAGACCGGCCACACTCGCGCCGTGGCCATTGAGACATGCGTGCGCTGGCCTCTTGTCATGCATCCCTTCACGATCCTCGCTCCACGCTCCTCGCTCCTCCCCGCTCTTTCCTCGCCCCTCGCCTCCCTCTCCCCGCTCCTGGCTACTCCCTTTTCACTCCCTGTCGCTCCTTCCACCTCTCCTGGCTACTGGCGTCTGCTTCCCCCCCTCCTCTTCGGCTCTCCCTCGTCCCTCCTCGCCTGTCTCTCTCTCCTCTGCCGTCGCTCCTCCCTCCTCGCCCCGTGCTCCTCTCGGATCGCTCCTCGCTCACCCCTCCTCCCCCGCCGACCCCGGCGCCTCGGTCTGTGCGCCTCGCTCCTCGCTCCACTCTCGTGAGCTGCAGGCTGCGCCATGCAGCGAGGGTGCCGCAAGGCAGCACTCTGCGGCCTCGGGCAGCCACAGCGCACAGCCGCAGTCCGCAAGCATGCCACGGGCAGCACAGCACGAGGAAGCAGCAGCAACGGCATGCCGCAGGCAGCAGCACCCTGCAGCCGCAGGCAGCAACAGTAGAGGCGAGGTCCAGGCGCAACGATGTCACGAAAGCCTTTACGCAACATCTCTGCCGTGGTCCAACGAGCCATCTCAGAAAGATTTCGTGGCCTGTTAGGCCACGGGTCAGTCCTAGTGACCTACAGCGCTGGGATCAGCGCATGCGAGAAGGGCGAGCAGTGGCAGCGGGCGCTGGGGCTACTGAGCGACATGTGGGGGGGGGGGGGGGCGAAGCTCGAGCCCGACGTCATCAGCCACAACGCTGGGATCAGCGCATGCGGGAAGGGCATGCAGTGGCAGCGGGCACTGGCGCTGCTGAGCGACATGTGGGGGGCGAAGCTGGTGCCCGACGTCATCTATACTATATGGCCGGAGGAAGCGGCGTGCCGGAAGGAAAGCGACACAGAGCGGATCAAACGGCAATGGAGCTCTCCGGCGGGGCCCCGCGTGCTCTCGGGCGGCCCCGGGGCGCTCCGCGCCGGTCTCGGAGGGCCTCCCCACGGAGGTTCGAGGGCCCCGGACGGCCCCAAGACGGTCTAACAGGGCCTTCGAGACGGTTCAAGAGTGCTTGTAGACGTCCAAGACAGCCCCCAGACGGCCCAAGGGGCCCCCCGAACGCGCGAAGTGGACTCCAAGAAGAGCCCCGAGAGAGCCCGCACAAGCAAACATCGTCCTGCTCTCGCGGGAAAACGTGCGTTGTCGCAATTCCCGTGCCTTTCGTTTTCAAAGCGTCCAAGAGGACAACTCACGCCTCCAAGATCGTCCCAGGACGCTTCAGGAGCGCCCCATGAGGGCCCCAAGGCGGCCGAAGACGGCCCCAGGACGGCCCAAGACGGCCCCAGGACCGCTCTTGAGGCGCCCACGACGGCCCAAGAGTCACCCAAGGCAGCCCCAAGAGCGGCCCAAGACGGCCTCAAAACGGCCCCAAAACTGCCCCAAGGCCCAAGCCGGCCCCAGAGGCGTCCAAGACCGCCGCAGACGGCACCAAGACGGCCCAGGGGGCACCGAAGACGGCCCAAGAAGGCCCGAAGAGGCCCCCATGGGGCCGCAAGACGGCCCAAGGGGGTCCCAACAGGCCCCCAGAAGGCGCGGTCTCGCTGCCGCCGCCCCGGCCGCCGCCGTGCTTATAGGTTTTCGGGACAACCTCCGCCGTTCCTCCGAGAACCATTCCAGAAAGATGTCGTGAACGGAGTCCACGGGTCAGTCCTAGTCGGCTACAACGTTGGGATCAGCGCCTGCGAGAAGGGCCAGCAGTGGCAGCGGGCGCTTGCGCTGCTGAGCGAGATGTGGGAGGCGAAGCTGGAGCCCAACGTCGTCTGTACTACAATTCCGGGCGAAGCGCGCGCGAGAAGGTCAGGCAGTGGCAGCGCCTCAGGCCGCCCAGAGCTCGCGGGCCGCCCGGAGAGCCTCCGGGCCGCTGCCCGACGGGCCCGGGAGGCCCCCGGACCGCTGGCGGACTGATCCAGGATTCCCAGATCGCCCCAAGACGGCCTCAGGAGGTCCCGAAGACGGCCCAAGACGGTCCAAGAGTGGATCCGAGACGCTCAAGATGGCTTCAAGATGGCTTCAAGACGGCCCGAGACGCTTCCACGAGGCCCCCAGAGCGCTCGAAGTGTACCTCCAAGAGGGGCCGCAGAAGCCAAAATCGTTGATTTTCTGTGTTTTTTCAGATGTTTCTGGCCTTCTCGCTTTTTCGGCTTTCCGACGCTCCAAGACCGCCCAAGAGGCCCCCCAGACCGTTCCAAGACGGCCCAAGAGGCCTTCAAGACGCCCCAAGAGGGCCCCAAGACGGCCCAGGAGTCGCCCAAGACGGCCCAAGAGGCCCCAAGACGGCCCCAAGAGAGGTCTAAGACAGGGACCCGGAACCGAAAAATTGAGGCCTCCACCCCAAGAGGCCCCCAGGAAGCCCCAAGACGCCCCAAAGAAACGCGGGGACGCTCCCAAGACATCCCCAGGAGGCCCCAGGACGCCCCACAGAGGCTCCAAGAGGCCCCCCAAAGGCCGCCAAGCGCCCCAAAAGGCCTCCAAGAGGCCCCAAAAGAGGGCCCAAGAGGCCCCAAGACGCCCCCAAACTGCTACCAAGAAGCCCCCAAACTGTCTCCCAGAGGCTCCCGAGAGGCCAACCACGAGATCCTAACCAGCATCCACGAGATCTCAGGCCCTCGGCGAGATTGCCCGCAGGCCACTACAGCCGGTTCGGGGACCCTACGTATACCAGTACCAGCACCCTTGGCTGTATCGGGGGCCTCACCGCTGCTCTCTCGGTTCTGCTGGCTTCGACCTGCCAGAGCTCTGAGCCGCTCCCCGACGCCCCCAGGACGCCCCTGGAGCGCTCCCCGACGGCTCCCGGACCCCGACATCGCTCCAAGACGGCCCCAAAGACGTCCAAGAGAGCCGAAGCCGATCCGGCCAGAGCCCCACGACGGCCTCGAAATGCCCCAGAGACGTTCCTCGAGGGCCCCGTGGACCATGCCTTGAGTTTGGGGTGATCGCGCACAGTCCCAGCGCGATTAGCAAAAACCCATTCCTTTTCACGCTTCCAGGTCAGTGCCCCCGCGGCTCCCCGACTGCTTTCTGAGATCGCCCCTGGACGTGGCCCCTTACACGTCGGCCCCACGCGTGGCCTCCAAACGGGACCCCCAAAGGCGGCCCCCACACAAAGCCTCCGAAGGTCGCCCCTACCGCCCCAGTAAGCGTGGCCCCCGAACGTCAACCCCACGCGTAGCCCCCAGGCGCCCCCAAACGTGGCCCCAAGACACACAGCCCCCAACCATTGCCCTCAAACGTGACCGTCACATCTGCCCCCGAGCCCCGCACCCTCAAACGCGACCGTCACATGTGCCCCCGAATCCCGCACGCGGCCCCCAAACATGGCCCCCGGCAGGGCTGCGAACGTTGCCTCCAATCATGACCCCCTGACGAGACCCCCCAACGTGGCCCTCAAACGAGGCCCCCCAACGTAACGCCCAACTCTGGCCCCCACGCGTCCACCCCCCATATCGAACTTCTCGCGCACAGGGACTCTGTAAGATCGTTCGGGCCCCCTTACTCTGATTGTGTCTGAAAACCTACGTGTTTCTGCTAATCGCGCCCAGGCCTTGCGCTATTAGCAAAAACGCATTACTTTGACGCTTCCAGCGCTTCCGACACGTGCGCGTTCGGGACCAACGCCTGGATCTGCGGGCCGTGGATTTTCCACGGGTTCACACTAGTCAGCTACAGCGCTGGGATCAGCGCGTGCGAGAAGGGCGAGCAGTGGCAGTGGGCGCTTGCGCTGCTGAGCGAGATGTGGGAGGCGAAGCTGGAGCCCAACGTCATCTCTACTACATTGCAGGAGCACGTGCGTGCCAGACGGGCGCAGGCTCAAATGTCTCAAAACCGCCCCGGGCTGGCCCCGAGCCGCCCCGGGCCGCCCAGGCAGGCTCCAGGACATGTCGAGAGGGCCCCCAGAAGCCCCCAAGACGGCCCCAGAGAGCGCCGGCACGCTTAAAGATGGGCCCAAGACGCCCGAGATTCGCCCCAGGCGGCCCAAGAGGCGTCCAAGACGCCCGAAGAGGCCTCCCAAGAGGCTTCCCAAGAGGGCCCCGAGCGACAGAAATCGTCGATTTCTAGTGTGTTTTTCGATGTTTTCGGCCTCCTCGCCTCGTCGGCTTCCCGACGCTCCAAGACGGCCCAAGACGCCCCCCCGACCGCTCCAAGACGGCCGAAGAGGACCCCAAGAGAGCCCCGAGACGGGCCAGGAGGGCCCCCAGACGGTCCCAAAACGCCCCAGGACGGCCCCAGGACGGCCCAGAAGGCGCCCAAGACGGCCCAAGAGGCACCCAAGACGACCCCAGGAGCGGCCCAAGACGGCCCACGACAGCCGAAGAAGCGCCGAGGCGGGTCTCAGACGGCCCCAAGACGGCCCAAGAGGCACCCAAGACGGCCCGAGAGGGCCCTAAGAGCCCCCCCGGGAGGCCCAAACGAAGGCCGAAGAGGCTCCGAAACGGCCCCCGCGAAGCCTTCAGTGCCTTCAGAATTCCCTCCAGGAGCAGGGGAGCGGACGAGAGGCGACACGTGCGTTGGGCGCCTGGGCGGCCCCGTCGCGGAGAAGATCGCAGGGACGGGGACATCACGATGGCGAGCACCCCGCGCCATCACGACGTCGTGGACCGCGACGTCCGCTATTCTTGCGGGGAGTGCGCCCCGCATGTGCAGGCGCCGCATTTTAGTTGCGTTTGCACCTCCTATCTTCGGTTCCCAGCACGCCTCCTATCCCAATCCCCCGAACTTGCTCGCACTCCTGGCCATGCAGCCGCCATCCCTGTTGCCGTCGCCGTCGTCGTCACATCCGTGAGCTGGACGGGGCCTTCTCAGCAAAGGCAGAGGGGGGACGGAACGACGACGACGACGGCCACGACTACGACGAAGGCAATGACGACGACGACGACGACGACGACGACGACGACGACGACGACGACGACGACGACGACGACGACGACGACGGCGGCAGCGTCGGCGGCCGCGACGGCGACGACGCCAGCAGCGACGCCGACGGCGACGGTGACGGCGACGGCAAATGCGACGTCGACGGCGCCGCCACGGGAGGGCCCCGACGAGGGCTCCGTACTTTCCCGGGCCCCCGAAGCAGACCGTCACGCAGACAGGCGCGCTCCGACGGAACCCCGCGGTTGTTTGCGTCGGGCCTCATCGGGGGGGAGGCGGCGGAGATCTAATCAGGCGGACTCGTGGGGTTTGCTTTCTTGGAGGCTCGTGTAGCCGTCTCGGGCTCTGTTGAGGCTTCATTGGGGGCCTCTTGGGGCCTTTCTGGTTGGGGGCCTCAATCTCGGGGGAGGCGGAGATCCATTTAGGTGGGCCTGGGTTTTTTTTCCTGGGGGCCCTTGTGAGCTCTTCGGGGTGGTGACTGGATCTCGGGGAGGGCGGAGACCCAATGAAGCGGGCCTCCAGAGGCTCCTTCGGGGGCTCTTGGAGCTGTCTCGGGCCCGTTTCGGGGTCCTCTGGGGGCGTCTTGGGGCCATCCTGAGAGCGGGCGATTCGATCTCGGGGAGGGCGGAGATCCAATCTGGCAACCCCAGGGGGGGGCTCTCTCGGGGGCTCTTGGAGCCGTCTCGCCTGCCGTCAGACTGGACGCCGTAGAATACTTCGCGTGGCAATCGTCTTCAACTCTTCACGCTTCGCGTATCCC